ATGTAGATAAGATAGAGAAACTTTAAGTTTCTTTAAAGTGGCTGATAATTACAGCAGTTCTATAAACAGTCTGTTTTATAGTTATTGTTGATCGATTTATTATTGATCAATGGGTTAGGGGGATGGGGGGGTTAGGGGTTAAATATCAGGGGGGTTAGGCCTATCCTATCACTGTAACCACTGACTGAGCAATTTGTTCATTAATATTTGATCATTGATTTCTGCAGCCCTGAGACCATCGCCTATCACAACATGGGGGCGGGTGAAGCTCCAGGCATGCAAGCCCCACCCCCTCCACCTCCTCCACCACCAATGCCAGACACAGGTACGTTTCAACTCGACCAATCAGAACACTCGTGTGATCAATTGTTTTTTACATCACCTGAAATTAAACTTTTCTTTTTCTCTTCATCGTTAAAGTGTCCAACGGTCTTTACCCCTCGCCTCCTGCTCCTGCTCCTCCCCCGCCCCCACCCCCTCCTCCCCCTCCCTGTCGGACCAGCGAGCTCTCCTCCATCCCAACGCCCCCTCCTCCTCCCCCTGTGGCCCCCCCTCTTCCGGGGTCAGGGGGGTCACCTACGGTCATCTTTAACTCGGGACTCGCAGGTGAGTGTCACAGGTTAAAGTTCGCAGGTTGAAATTTTTTCTGAACAGTCAAAATCAAGGAAAAGTCAACTATAATCTGTGATAACATGTCGATGTTTCTGACCTGTTCCTCAGAGGGTCCACTCAAGTTATTTTGTAAGTTCACTTGTATGTTCTATGTTCTATGTTATAGTTTCATTTCCTATCTCGCCATTTCCATGTCACAGTTTCAACATCATTTCATTACCTGGAAACTTCATCCGACCAAAGAGATGATCTGTTCAGTTTCCACCTGTTCACCTAAAAAAAACAAAAAAACACAGTTATGATAATTATGTCAATAACTAGTAACTGACCTGACCTATATTGGTTAGTTAACTCTCTCTCACACACACACGCACGCACGCACGCACATTTCCTTTCCTCAGTCAGTCTCTCTTTTGTGACAGGGTTAGGTCAAACACAGAAACAAAATGAAAACACCCTCACATTGTGTCAAACATTCAAACATGTTCTACACATGTTCTAAACATGTTAGTGGTAAGATTAACAGTAGCTCAGATAAACATGTAAACATACAGAGCACTGGTTAAAACATGATGAATGAACACCTGCTCAGCGACACTATGCTAACCCTAACAGTGCTAGTTCAGTTCATCACAAACACCTCATAGTTTCAAGATTTAAATTTTGTTTCGTCGTCCAGTCTTTCTGCACCTCTCACCTGTCTGTAGCACAGCGGCTGCTCGGATTGGATACTGGAGCGCCGCCAGACTTTATTCATTTGAGATGAACTTGATCATCTGTGATCAGCCAGTGGCTGCAGGGATTGAGTACAAAAACACAGACGTCAAGTCAGACACTTTTCACGTCTCGTAGCATCACAGACAAGAACAAAGACCGATCTCACAGCTTTTCGTTTTTATTTGCAGGGGAAACAGTTTTCCTCGTGTTTTAGAACAAAGAAGTTGAACATTTTTGTCCTTCATTAATCAGCACATTAGAAACATTAAATACACACACATGAAATAACAGAAAACAACAGATACGCACTGCCAGTGGTTATAA